TAAGAAGATATGTTAAGAAAACCTCAGGCATTTTAATATGTTAAATGCACACCCAATTATTAATTCTAAAGACTTGTATGAATCAACTCGGATAAAACCCTTTTCACCTTTTTCTTGTCTTTCCCTCCTTCTCAGAAACCGCTGAGACCTACCCTATGGCGATGACTATTGGGAAGTTTCTGTCCTGTATTTCAGGATAGCACAAATAATTCAGCAAAAAAAAAAAAAAAAAAAAAAAGCAGCCTGCTTCCTGTAGCCTGGCATTAGGATAAGTATATCTTAAGAAAGTTCTTATGCAGACTTGGCTTGAGGCAATAAAACGTCATAGACGTATAACTGTAGCAAGTGAAATTTCCAGGGAGCAAATTAGGCAGAAAACATCTTCTAGAGACAGCAAGAAAGGAATTGTACACCACCCCAAAATAAGGCAAGTTATGCAGTAAATGTTTCATTTATTGGCCTTCTTCCATTACTATTAGGGTTAAAAGACATCTTGTCAATAAGAGGGGGGACTGATGTCTTTAGGAAAGCTTCCTGTCATCGACGCCTATAGCATCTCTGGCTGGCTTCAGAAGGCAGGGGATGAAGGCAGGTATACACATACATACCTCTCCACATTAACCCTTGCATCATCGGGTATCATTGTCACCTTGTTACCTAGACCTGCTATGAGCTCAAGCAAGGTGATCAAGCCAGGCGCTCCAGAAAAATGTCAGAACAGAAGAGAATTCCTCAGGGTTGCAAAAGGAGGGTGTCTGCCTTGCAGAATTCCCTTGGCAGAATCATTCAAGGGGCGGGAGGGGAGACTGCCTGCGAAGCAGGCTCTTTTACCCACCCCTTCCTCCTGCTGAAATCGAAAAGTCTTGGATGTCCAATTTTTAATGTTCATATGTTGGCCCAGGGAGTAGCTTCTCTCAAAGTCCAAATAAGGAACCATCACCCACGCAGAACACAAAGCAAACAGAAAATCTCACAGTGGAATCAGGACTTTGGCTTCTAAACATTTCCCCATTTTATAGCTTCCTTGTGTTTTCAGATTCTTTTTTTGGCTTCCCTCCGTCAGCACACTCCCTGCATAGATAAGTCCGGCCCAGTGGGTAACAGATCATCCATCTTGGAGGCAGGATCTTTAAAGCAAAATCACACAGGAGCACAAACACATACCCGTGCGTGCACACACGTCCACATCACTGCCAAAGGTAATTTAGTAGAATCTTGCCGAGTGATTGAGGGAGCTGAATGTGGTTGTCAACATGTATTCCTTACTTTTGGAAAATCCAAGCCGACTCTCTTTGCTTTTCCTAAATTCCAAAGACAAGCTTTCCACATGGTCTGCCTTCCTTGCTGGCATCCTGGGAAGCTGTCAGTACAGATAGGGTATGTATATATGTGGGGTGTGTGTGTGTGTGTGTGTGTTAAAAAGCAGCTAAGGGGGTAAGGGTCCAAGTGCCAGTTGAGATGTCTGTATCGCTTATTGGTTGCTCAGTCCGGTCCTGGCTGCTCTACTTCCCATCCAACTTCCTACTCATGTGCACCCAAGGATGCAGCAGATGTACCTGGATTCCTTCTCCCGCGGTGAGAGATGGATTTCCTGGCTTCCGGCTTTGGCCTGGCCCAGTCCTGGCTGTTTCAAGCATTTGGAAAATGAAGTAATGTAAGGAAGCTCTCTCTTTTCTCTGCTTTTCAAGTAATTAAGTAAGCAAACAAATAAATCTTAAGAAAAAATAAAAAGCAGCTAAGAAAACATCCAGTCCGACCACCTTACCTGCCAGGTGAGATAAGATGAAGGGGCCACAGGTGGCATGGGCTGTGGCCAGCCTCTTTCTGTCCCTCTCAAGCACAAGCCTGTTTCAGGAGGCGCCTGCCACCTCCATGTGAACGAGGAGGATGTAGCCCGGGGAAGAGAACCAACTCACTTAAGGTGTAAGGTAAACTGTAGATGACCAAGGATACATGCCCATTGAGGAAGTGGAGGGCGAGTGGAAGGAGGCAGACAACAGAGCAGATGATGCGCAAGAGCACGGAATAATGACGAGGAGGCAGTGAAGATCAGGGGCTCTGGGGGTCGACACCTTCCAGTGTGGGACCTGGGCTGGCCCCAGGCAGGGGCTGCAAGGCAAGACGGGCACAGCTGCTTGCCCAGCCTGCCATTCCACTCCCACGACACAGAGGCTACAGTGGCAAAATCCCTTGGCTTAAGATAATGTCAGAACTGGCCTGGCTTCCTCCCCGTGTGTTTAGACTCTTTGCTATTTTGGCAAAAAAAAAACCAAACAAACAAAAAAAAACTCTTCCACTCTTTTAGGTTTTATTTATTTTATTTGAAAGTCAGAGTTATGGGGTGGGGGAGGCGTGGGGGTGTCTTCTACCTGCTGATTCTTTTCTATAAACTAAGAGTCCTCATTGAGAGCTGGAGAAGTTGCCTAATACCTGCATCAAGCCAATAGTTGTTGAAAATTCACACCAAATCTGTTTTCCTTCCTTGTTTTTTTTTTTGTTTTTTGAATACTGTTCACTTTGTTTCTTGCCAAGTGCATCTCCAGTCTGCCCTCCTCCTACACCCCAGCCTGAGCAGTGCCTCAAATTCTTCTAGAAGCTAGGAGCTACTCAGTTTTTGAGAACTTGCGGTCTACCCAGCCTTTTTATGGTACTCAGCAATGACATTCAATGCGGCATATGTGCTATCATGGAATAACGTTTAATTGCTTAATTAAAGCATAGATTTAAAGAAGGACAGATTCAAGAGTTCCCTTTGAATGAGAGTAAGAATTGGGCAAGTCGGATGAGGTTGCTAATCCCAAGGAGAGAACTCTCCACGTGGACATCCGATCAAAACGCAAGGCAGGCCATCAAACACAGCGAGGGCACTCCTTACAGACGCCAATTCTGCTTCTACAGGAGTTATTTTTTATTATATAGGTAGTCCTATCATGAACACAGAAGACCTCGTTCGCTAACCCAGTGCAGATCTTGGTTAGACGAAAATAGAAACACAGGACAAAGAAATTGCCATAAAACCAAGTTACTATAAATGGGATCCAGTTTAAGCAAATCAGCCCGACACGGGCCTTGGGAAAGTGAATGCCGAATATAGCCGGACTCAGGCACCCCAAGTGCACAGGTGACAATTAACAAGTGTGTAAAGCTATGGTCACTTGGCTAAATGTGCAAATGTAAAGGCAACCGAGTGAAAAAGACCTGAAAGGGGAAACTGTTAAATCCATTTGTACATGGATTTAACAGAGAAGCACTTCATTCTTCATGTTTTTACTTGGTGTCTTAGAATAATCCCCTTTCTGTCTCCACTCTCCCTCGCAGACACTGCGTCTGCCTTATTTATTTATGAAGTCTGAAGGTTAGTCCTACCTGCTGAGGCTAATTAGCCCTGTGCCTTGTATCCCATGCAATCCTGTCTGATTGAATGTACACATTTGTTCTGCTTCTTTTCAGACTCCTTCCCACTCCACTTCTGAGTTCCTGATTAATATTAAAGTGGGGGCTGCGTGCTTTCTACGCTAGCTCTTCCCCCCCAGCCCCATTTTTATTTTGCCTGCATCGTTTTCTTTAGTGTGCAAATGTGGTTGTGATTTTTTTTTTTTTTTCCAGTGCAGGAGAATACACACTGGCCTTGTCAATCAGTATCATTATTTTTAGTCATCTTCTTTCTGAGACCTTAGTCTATAAAACCCTTTTGCTGAAAACCTCGAATTCTCAGATATTACATGCCAAAAGTCACGGTCCTTTGGACACTCAGGTGGAGACAGGTCAGCTGGAGAGCAGGTGAGTTAATCTGGTCATTTCTGTGGATTTACGTGTTTGGGATTCTTCTGGTCCTCTTTCCCCGTTGTAGCTTCTATTTGACTTCTCATTGGATGTTCTCGCTCCATCACTCGGGAACACGCAGTTTTAGGAGTCCTGCGTGTTACAGGACTCTCTGTTCCCCATCTTGGAGAAATCTGCTTTGTAGGTGAGGGCCCCCAAATCCACAAATATCTGTCTCAAATCCCAAGGGCCCCACCTCCTCCCCAACGCCCTCTGCCCTCTTGCCTGGGCTTGGTTAGCAATTTCCTGCCAGGGCCATCTCCCTCGGGACTGTTTTGGTCAGTCTCTTGCTGAACTCAGTCCTTCATGGAGGACTCCTGTCCCCAGGATTCCAGGGGTGGGGGAACTTTCAGTTTTATTTTCCCTCAGGACGGCGTTAACGCCCAAACTTTTCACCTCTAAAGTCAGAAAGGACTTTGACTCCCCAGCTCATTTCCTATCACCCGTTAAACACACACACACACACACACACACACACACACACACACACACACACACACACGTTTAAAAGAAGCATCTCTCTTTTTTCCCTTCAGATTTTGATTTTTTTTTCATGCTCCTGAAAAGAATTACAGCATCTGGTTTTTAAGTCGTTGTGGCATCTTTAAGTTCGTTCCCCAACGGGTAGCGAACCCACGCACAGTTCATAAACCCGGGAGGGCGGGGGGACACCTCGTGGGTTCCTAATTGCAATCTCCGGAGGTGAGCGGGACCTTTGCCCAGGCCTCCACTTCGCAAGCTCCCTGCAAGAGGGCTCCCGTGCAGGCTCCATCCCGTCCAGGGGTGAGTGGACGGCACGCTCTGCGGCCGCGAACCCCCGTGCGCCCCGGGACTCGGGGCTCCGATTTGTCAGAGTGCACTTTTCCTGGGCCTCTCCTCCCTGCCCGCCCCGCTCGGCTCCGATTCCGGACTCGGTCGCCACCCCCTTCCCCTCCTCTCGCCCTCGGCATTGTCTTGCCCGGGCCGCCCCCCGCCCCCTCCCGCAGCGAGCCCCGCGCCCGCTCGCCCCGGCCAGGGCGCTCCGCCCGCCGCGCCCTCCTCCCGCTCCCGGCGGCCGAAAGGAGCATTGTTAGCCGCCCCCGCCCCGCCCACCGCGGCTGTTTATTTATGCACACGTCAGCGGCCCGGCCCCGCCCCCGGCATCTCATTAAGGCGAGTGTGTTCCTCTCGCCCTGTCAATAATCTCCGCTCCCAGACTACTCCGTTCCTCCGGATTTCGATCCCCCTTTTTCTATCTGTCAATCAGCGCCGCCTTTGAACTGAAAAGCTCTCAGTCTAACTTCAACTCTCTCAAATCCGAGCGGCACGAGCTCCTCCTGTATCTTCGGCTTCCCCCCCCCTTTGCTCTTTATATCTGACTTCTTGTTGTTGTTGGTGTTTTTTTTTTTTACCCCCCTTTTTTTTATTTATTATTTTTTTGCACATTGATCGGATCCTTGGGAACGAGAGAAAAAAGAGACCCAAACTCACGCGTGCAGAAGATCTCCCCCCCTTCCCCTCCCCTCCTCCCTCTTTTCCCCTCCCCAGGAGAAAAAGACCCCAAAGCAGGAAAAAAAAAAAGTTCACCTTGGACTCGTCCTTTTCTTGCAATATTTTTTTGGGGGGGGAGGGAAAGCGAAAACTTTTTTTTTTTTGAGGGGGTGATTTTTTTTTTTTTTTGGCTTTTCTTCCTCGTTTCATTTTTCTTCCAAAATTGCTGCTGGTGGGTGAAAAAAAATGCCGCAGCTGAACGGCGGTGGAGGAGACGACCTAGGCGCTAACGACGAACTGATTTCCTTCAAAGACGAGGGCGAGCAGGAGGAGAAGAGCTCGGAAAACTCGTCGGCAGAGAGGGATTTAGCGGATGTCAAGTCGTCTTTAGTCAATGAATCAGAAACGAATCAGAACAGCTCCTCCGATTCCGAGGTAACGAAAAGCCCCCCGGGCTGCCGGCCTGCGCCGTCCGGGTCCGGGTCCGGGCGAAGGCGGGCGGCCAGGGCAGCGGCCGGGGCCGGGGGCGGCGGGCGCGCGGGGCCGCGGTGGCCACCACTTGTAACCCTGTTTCTCTGTGCCCCCCTCAACCCCGCCGAACCCCCTCTCTCTTTCTCTCTTCTTCTTCTTCTCCCCCTCCCAACCCCACACACCGTCCCCCACCCCATTCCCCCCCCCCCAAAAAAAATCCTGGCGCGGCGGTCGCCCCCCTCGCGCTCCCCACCTCCACTCTCCGGGAAGGCGGAAAGACGGCCTCCGCCACGCTCCGAAAGTTTCCGAGATAAATCCCGGGAAAGTTTGGAAGAAGGTGAGTATGTATGCCCCGCGCGCCCCGCCGCCCCGCGCGCCCCGTGGCTCGGCCCGGCCCGGGGGCGCCACGCGCGCGTCGGGCCTCCGCCGGGGCGCACGGCCGCGGGGGGCTCCCCGTGCTAAAAAAGTTTTCTCCTCGCTCTCTCCCGCGCCGCGCACGGCCGCCCGCCCGCCGTCCCCCTCGCCGCCCCGCCATGTTAGCGGCCAAGAGGCAAGATGGAGGGCTCTTTAAGGGGCCACCGTATCCCGGCTACCCCTTCATCATGATCCCCGACCTGACGAGCCCCTACCTCCCCAACGGATCGCTCTCGCCCACCGCCCGAACCGTAAGTGCCTCCGCGCCCGGCTCCCCCGCGCGGCCCCGCATGCGGCCCCTGCCCTGCCCCCTCCCCTCCCCTCCCCGCCTCCCCCCTCCCCGCTCCTCCCTTCCCTCCCTCCCCTCCCCCGCTCGTGGCCCAGGCAGCCCGAAACTCTCCAAACTTTTCTGCCTTTTGTGGACTGGATTTGTTTGCACTTCGCCATGTTCCTGCTTTCAGTTTGCTGCTGCCTCGTGATTGTTGGGGTGGTGGAGGGGGGACACTTCTCTCTCTCTCTCTCTCTGCTCTCTCTGTCTGCCAAGCAGGGCTTTGTCGGGGTGGGGCGGGGGGCGGACAGCCCTCGGGAGAACTTTCTGTGCGCTCCGGCTCCCCCTCCCCCTCGGCGCGGCGGTGTTTGTTTCTGCGCCCCGGGAAGACGACTCTGAGGCTCTTTTCTTTCGCTCTGCCTTCCTTCCCTCTCGGCTGGCGTCTCGGGCGTCCCCGGGTTAACCCCTTGGCTGCCGCCCGGGCGCCCCGAGCGCGGGCCCCGCCGCCCGCCGGCCTGGGCCCTCCAGGCGTGGCGCACGGAGCGGCCGCGAGCGCGCCGAGCCCGGGGCCCCGAGGAGGCGCCGCCGCGGCTTTCTCGGTCGGCCGGCTTCTTTTTTTTTTCTGTAGCTTTCGAGTGGTGACCACTGACTCTTCGGCCCTGTCGCTTCCCTCTTCCAACCCCGCACTTGAGCCCCGCCGCCCCCTTGGCCCCCGGGAGTCACACACTTCCACAACCCCGTCCCGCACGGGTCCCACCGCAAGCTTGAGAGGGTTGGGGTTGCGGGCGGCCTGGCGCAAGGGGGGCAAGCCCTGCAGGGCCGCGGGCGCCCCGGGCGCCTGGCCGGGCTCGGCTGCCCTGCGTGCCGGCCGCGCGGGCTCTCCCGGGCCGCGCGCGTGCTGCCGGGGCTGTGCCTGCGTGGGGAGGCCTCCACCCAGCGGGCTTAGCTGTGGGGCCTGGGAAATGGGGCGCCTTTAGGGTGCAGAGAGCGACTGGCGTTCGCCAGCTTCCGAGAAGGCCCCGAGTTTGAGCCCTGGGGGGGGCGGGTGGGTGCAGAGGCCAGGGCTTGCGGGTTCGTGGGAGAGTGCAGGGGCTGGGAAAGGCCAGGCCTGCCCCCCAACCCCCAGGCTGGCTGCCCAATTTGGGGCGCCAGGAGGGCGCGGGACTTTGGGGGTGCTCTTCCTGCAGCACCTCACCCCTAACCTTTGAGGTGGCTGCTCTGGTCCTACACACCACCAGCCGGCCTGGCCCCCGCAATCCGCAGACGCTAGGCGCGTTTGTAGCTCCCGGAATTGTCACTTTGCACCTTGCCTGGTTTTGGGTCCCCTCTCCCGTATGGACACACAGCACTGGGGTTTCTGCTTTCTTCGGTAACTCGAGATAGCAGTTTGAAAGAATGCACCCGCGGTTGGGCAGGAAAGCCTTCTGTGCTAATGGCTGAGGGCTTGCCGCTGGAGAGTCCATCGGATCTACAAGTGTTTTTAAAGCATTAAAATATTAACCATCAGGTTTGACTTGTTTTTGGGACCCTGACAAAATGGCAAGGGCATGCTAGACCGGTGAGCTTTTTTTTTTTAATGTTTTGGAAAGAGAAATCATTGCCGCCACTCTCCCCCACCCCTCCTGCTATGTACCCCTGCTCCTGGCTGCAGGGGAGGCCGCCAGAGCGCTCCTCCTGCAGGGCCGGCTCTTTGCGGGCTGGCAGCTGCAGGGGACGCCGAGGCCGGTTATTTTGCTTTTTCGTGTTTCTTGGGAGCATCTTGCATGGAGAGTGGGGAAGGGGACCATTGGCTTCCAACCCCAGGGCGGGTGTGTTAAACCGGACCAAGCAACATTCTACTGTAATCCCGATCATTTCTCCCGATGTCCTCCCTGCCTCCTCAGGATGGGAAATGCTTTTGCCTTCTTGCACACGCAGCTTTGGTGGCCAGCGGGTTGGCTTTTGATTCCGTTCTCACTGCCCTCTCTGTCTGTGGCTGCTGGTGATGTGGCCGTCCGAGGCTCCTAAAACTGGAACAGTTGTGTTGTGCGGTAATTAGGAAACAAGGAAATTGTTAAAGGCAAATAAATGATTTCCTGGGGAGCAAAGGAAGGCTCCCGGCCCCTGGTCCCCTTTGTGGGCATTCTAGGAATAGGTGGCACCTCCTTAGTTTAATTGTGGACATAGAGGGTGGCCTTGTGCTGTGACATCAGATGGAATCTCAGAAGGCATTTCTGAACTCACTGGGCAGTTTTGCATGTCAAACGCCAGCCGACATGTTTGCGTTCCACCACCCCTTCCTGTCTGTTACCTGGGTTGGATTACTGGGCTCTCCAGGCCGGTGAGCCGGGCCGGGAGGCTGTGGTGTGTCACTCCTGACGGCTCCGATCGGAGGGCCAGCTTGCAATTCCAGATTCGCTACGGCTTGCTGGAGGACTCCTCCGGCGAGACAGCGGTGTTGCCGCGCTCTGAAATTCTTAGCGCGTTTTAGAGAGTGTGTTTCTCAGGGCGAGGTGTAAAGACAAATTAGGCTGTGCACTTTTCTTCTCTCCCTTTCCTCCTTGGCGCCGGTTGGCTGTGTTGCCTGTTACTTGAGCGTACCTGGAAGCTAACTCGGGGCGACCCCTGCTCTCTGCTTTTTCTGTTCCCGAGAGTGAGGAATTAAGGAATATCATGCAGTTGGCTCGTGGTGAATAATACATTAACTCGGGAATAATGCTCTAATTGCTGGAGATGCCATAAAGCTCGATAGTGCCAATTTTATTTTAAAAACAACACAGATTTCCCTGCAACATTCATTTGGTCTTTGATATGCTCGGAACAGCAGAGGCTTTTCAAAAGACAGAATTGGAGGCAAAAAGCACATCCAGGAGGGCTCTGGTTAAGTAGGTGAGAAGCGTTAAAATGGCAAATGTTAGAAAGGTGGTTAATGTTTGTCTGCTGAAGATAAGACTACTGTTACCCTATTCAGATTGACAGGAAAAAGTCGTGTTAACGTTGCTTTTTTCCGACTCCTTTTCTGGCAAAAAAGACTGCGAGTGTGGGTGGTGGACATTCCAGTCAAGGTTTGGGATTTCTTTTTTAAAGACTCGATCAGATGAGAGTTCTTGCACCTTCTCTCATCCACAGTACTTTGCTTGTCAACCAAGCTGCTTGCTGCCGAGTTGAAGAGGGACATTAGCAGCATCTTGCATTCATTTTTGAACTTGGAGTTCAGCATTTGAAGTGGGAACCAGCGGGGACTTTCTGCACGGAGGTTTTGTGTAGCCCCGCAGCTCCTCTTTCTGGCTTGTGAAAAATGGATGTTTGCTCCTCACTCCCAAGGACAGACTACTTCTGCCTCGAAAGATGGAGACCTTGGAGTGGGAAGGGTTAACCTTGGGGCTTCCCTGTTGTGCTGCCACCCCCCACCTTCACCCCTGATTGTTTTGACAACACTTTTCAAAGTGTGACATTCCAAGCCCCTACATAACAATGTAATATTACTGTAATTACACAGGTCATTACATTTTAAATAGAGAACAATAAAATGCTTATCGCCCTGAAAAAGAACAGGTGTTCTTGCCCTTCTTGGGGTATTTATGCTAATTGTTTTTCATCTCCTTTGGAAATATTTATGGCCAACATGTTTAGATTTCAATCTCCATGCAGCAGCATTAATTCCATGCTAATCTTTATAGGTTGGGGTTTAATGTCTGCAGTCTGGATTATGGGCTCAACATTGACCCAAGAAGTCATATTTTAATGATTATAAATTTCACGTGCTAGCATTTTGCAGTTTGTGGATACTAAGGTTTTTGGAAACCCAGAAAAAAAAACCCTTCTGCAGTTGGGAGCGCAAAAGTATGCTTATTTGGAAGAAGTGTTTCTGGAAACTTTTGCCGGCCAGGGGTGGTAACTCTAAGGTCCCCCTGGCACCCCAGGTTTGCTGGGAGCTTTCCACCTGGACCCGATACAAAGTGTCCTGATACAAAGTGCTCTGAGAGGCACTGTTTGGGGCTGGCTTGCTTTTCTGTGTCTTAGCAAGCTGTGAGAAAGTTAACAGTATTGCGCGCCACTCAGAAAGTATTTGCTTTAGAAAACTCGCATTTTAATAGTTGCTTTCAAGAGGACGTGGGAAGTCTTTGCAGGTTCTGAACCCCTCCTCACAGTCCACAAGTACCCAGGTGCACCTGGAGTTTTCCCCGGGAGAATTCCTGGCACAGGTTCCCTTCCATAGGGGCAGTGGGTAAGCAAGAAGGTATCCAAAAGGGTTTTACATTTTGTCAGATCTTTCGCAACGGGGCCTCTATCCTCTTCTCCCCCCTTCCCAGCCCCGATTGCTTTTAAAAAACGCACGGTGGAGAGCGGACAGCTGCACATTTTTGTATGGACGTGTGTTTCTAGACCATGACTAAAACTCCTAGGACCTCTCCCCCAGCTGTCTGGAAGTTATGTGGAAGTTGGTTTATTGGCAGTTAAGCATGAGACAACCTGGATTTAGCAAATGCTCCCTGCTCAGGAAGTGGATGACAGTAGGTGGGGGAAGGGCGGAGACTTGGGCAGGGGCAGGTTTATTCTGAGCCCTGTGCACCCCCCCCTTTGAAAATCTCAGTTGCTAGATAAATAAGCACTTTCCAAGGAGGTAGGTGTGAACTTTTTAGTCTTAGTAAGTGGAATTAGATAACATCTTGACGCATCCCTAACTTTTTCAGAGGTGACATCTTTCAAAGTTTCAGAGAAGGTGGGGGTGGACCAGACTACCAGAGGGTGTGCTTTTGGGGGACGGGTGTGTGATGGCTGTGTCTGGAAGTCATGGCGGCAGCCGACCGCGTATGTCAGTTTTCCCCCTCGGACTTATAATTGAGGACATTTGTGAAGGAAATGGTTAATTTTACAACCAAAGGCAAGCTCGCACCTCGACAGGTCTGCTGAAAGCCCTGCAGCCGGGTTCTGAGCTGGCAAGCACGCCGGGTCATAAATCCACGGGCTTTATTTACAGCCCATAACACTTATGAATGTTAA